GGGGGGGGGGGGGGGGGGGGGGGGGGGGGGGGGGGGGGGAGCTGAAATTGAAATTCTCGCTTGCACACACCTCACCACCCCGTTCACATTCTTCTCGGATTAAGCAAGAAGAACTTGGCTCCTCTGGGAGGTGGGGCGGGGGAGTGGAGATATTGCTGGAGATAAGGAAGGCGTTCCGGAAAACAAAGCTGCGGCAGCTGGACATGCCCTTGGCCACCCTGGCTCTGCTCGGCTCATGCAAACCCACGGTGCATGGTGCTTCTTGTCAGCATCAGGGCGTCAGGCCTCAGCCCCAGCGGCCCAATCCAGCCCAGCAGGCCAGTCTCCGTTGCCTTCGGGTAGTTACATGGCACTGGCACAGCTTTCCCAGCCTTGAAATGGTTGGGGAACCTCTGGTCCCCCCAGAGGGCTAAATGCCTCCCCACTGGCTTGGCAACTAGCAGAAAGATCTTTCAGTTTAGGGGGCAGGTAATCAGGGGATATTTTGGCCCTCTCCGAGGAAGGCGCCATGGGAGAGGAGGATCTCAGGAGGGTCAGCATGGAGAGGAACTGGTCTCTGGGCTTGAAATTCTGCACCCTTGAAATAACTACAGGCATGCCTGGATGCATGTGCAGTGACCCCAGGACTGCTGGGGGAAGGGCAGCTGTGCAAGGAAGGCGTCCACGGAGGCCGGGGAAACTCTCCCTGCCAGATCGCCAGATGATGCTGGAGAAATGCACAAGCGCCCTGGGAATTCAATCCGTATAAATCCAGCCTCCGGATTCTGCAGCAGCCCGGTTTTTCACTTTTGCAAAAACGCATGTTTCTCACTGTGCTTTACCACACATATTCATACCACTCAAACTTGAAATTAATTAAACAAAATACACATTTGCAGCACAAGCAGAACCAAATGCTGGTTTCAAAAATCTGATTCTGCCAAAGAGCAGCGGATGCAACCACAGTTGCCTGAGAATCTGCGAAACTCAGAAGGAAAGGATTTTCTCCTGTTCTCACACAGAGAGTCCAGTTGCTTGTTCTTTCTCTCGCCAGCTAGACTGCGTGAATCGGCTCAGTCCCTGCAAGAGAAATGCAGTCAGCAATTGTCTTCTCAGGTTGCCTGTGATTTATGGTTAATTAAGGGATTAATTAACGGCGCTCCTGACTCTAAAGGCAGGATCCGAATTCTGCCTCCGTCAGCTAAGAAGTGATAAATGAGGACACGTTGATCTAGTCTGGGCCTTAATGAAATTAAAGTGCCGAAGAGGAGGCGTCCCTCCTGTGAGGCTGTCAGTGGAGCATGGCCTCCCCAGGGCGCCATTTTGTGTCCCAGTCTGAGCAAGAAGGAAAAGGCCCTGCACTGGTTGGCCAAGGAGGAAGTTGACCGTGCTTCATCTGGATGCTTCCCCCCCCCCCCCCCCCCCCCGAATGGCTTGTTTTCTCCCCGGTATGCTCAGTGGAACCCTTGTCGGGGGGACCGAGAGAGGGAGGTCTTCTCCCAGGTGCCCCCTGCTTAACATCCAGCAGCGTCTGAGGCGCATCGCAGGGTCCGCTTCACTCCCCACCCCCCTGCAACTAGCCGCCTCGTGCCTTCCATGAGATCCTCCCAGGGGAGGGCTATCGTGGCGTCGCCGGAACCCATTCATGCCTATGGACAGAGCGGGGCAGCTTTCCTGATGCCCTCCAGATGTCTGGGACTGCCACACGGGCTGGGGCTGGGGCTGATGAGAGTTGTCGTCTCTCTGCATCTTATCAGTCTCTGCCTGCGCCTTTCTCCAAATGGCCCCAAACACCGCAATTCTGTGGGGAGCATCTCAATTCGGGGCGCCCCGAATTGTAGGATGCCTTCCCTGGCTCCTTCTTTGTTGACATTTCAGCACCAGGAAATGACCCTTTCATTCTCTCAGACCTTTCACATGCATGTTTAACCACTGTATGCATTGCTTGTTAATATGCTTAAAATAATCACCTCTCTATTTTTAGCTGCTGTTATTTATCTCCTTCAAATATTGACCTCAACCTGCTGCTTTTTTAAATAGCACCTTTCAGTAGGTCTACTTTTTATAAAAGTACCTTTCGTTATTGGTTTGATTGGGTTTGTTTGCATTCTGTATAATCACCCTGAGAGCTTTGTTCATAAGAAACCGGATGAAGAAATCAATACATCCATTTAACCAGGGCTGCATAGTGTGGGAAGAAACCTAGAAAGCGGTCTTTCCCCAAGGCAGGCGTGGGTACTTCCAGCTCAGGGGCCCGGCAGAGTGGGAGTCAGGAGCAGTGTGGCAATGGAACCGGGACCACCTGAAGAGCAGGGGTGTTCGTGTCAAGTAACGCCACCCCCTTTTCCCGCTTCCCTCTGAGCTCAGCAGCCATTTTCACAGTTGCTGGGAGGGAATGAGAATTTTCCAGCACTAATGTAATGCTCCTGTTGAAATGCAGCATCTCTGAGCATCCGGACTGGGCAAGGTAGGTGCACTGGCCTTGGGAAAGCCCTGCTTCTGCTGCAGATGAGAGCGCCCAGCAGGGCCTCACAGGGAGGCTGCTGCCTGTGATCTTCCGACTCTCCTTCAGGGCATGGCCGCTGGGACTGGCATGAGGCGCCCCTGCCTCTCTCCACTGCCCGGGGATCCTTGCCAGCCCCTGCTGAAGCGCCAGGGGCTGCACACACAGCCCTCTGTGCAGGCAGAAGCGCTACCCCTGAGCTGCAGCCCTTGCCCTCAGAGCAGCCTGCCTTTGAATGACTGGGGCACTGTGCTCTCTGGGGTTTCAGGCAGGATTATTTCCCATTTCCAGGGACTGAACCTGAGACCTTCTCGGTGCAAGGCAGGAGATCTGCCGCCAATCTACAGCCCTTTCGCATGAAAGCAAAGCAAGATTCTAGTCCTCATCGTTCTGATCAAGGGAGCTTTGGTTTACAGCATGCCAGACCCTCAGCCTATCGAGGCTCGTATTGCCAACACTGACAGGCAACGGAGGCTCTCCAGGGCAAGAGCTTTCCAGCCCTACCTCAAGATGCTGCTAGCAAATGAGCCAAGGACCTTCCTCAGCTAAATCAGCCCCCCCCCACCCCAAACTGTGGTCTCTCCTGAAGGAAGCTGGCTTTTCCCCAGCGGCAAGGTCTGTTTCGCTCAGCCTTGGCTCTCTCTCTCTCTCCCCTTCCCTCCTTCCTTCCTTGGGTGCTCGTTCTCCTGCTGTGCTTGGCAACAAGTGGGAAGAGGAAGTTGAAGGGGACAGTGGCGAAGGGGTGTTGCCAGCGGGAGGTGGCTTCAGGGTTCAGGTTGCAGAGATGCTCGGGGAGGGCAGGAGGCAGGCGGGCAGGCAGGGAGGGAGGGACCGAATCGCTCCGAACAGGCAACCTTTGTACATCTGCAGAGCGGTGGCTCGAGGGTGGCCAATGTCTTTCGCTCCCCTGCTGTGATCTTGCTGGGCTGTGCTCAAGGACGAGACCCCGTGCTCTCTTCTGCCCCCTGGAGGTAAGTGGAGAGCACCCCCTGCCCCTGCCCTTGGGGGGCAGACGATGATGAAGGAGGAGGAGGAGGCACAAGCTGCGTCTCCCGTTCTCCCTTTCAAACTCGCCAGAGTGCCAAACACCTGTGCCAAGCAAGACCTGGCATGGCGGGCTTCCAAGACCGGGATCAGGGCCCCCTGAGCCGGCTTTCAGAATGTCAAGGGGAAATGCAACGCAGCGGTTAGCCATGGATTTGAAGCACCCTATTTGTTTTGGCCCTGGGAAGCGGGGGGGGGGGGGAGAGGTGGGGGACAGAGGGAAGGGCTTCCTGCGCAGCCTGGCTTGGCATGTAGAACTCACCGACACTGGACCTGGCACGTTCGGAGACAGCATGGCTGGTGCGGGGAGAGGAGCGGGACTGGGGACAGGGCCTCTTTCTCGGGGCCTGCGGGAGAGGTCTGCTGCAGAGGGAAGCGAGGCCTGTGGTCAGAGCAAGCTTCGGTCTCACGAAGCAGGAGTCTTCTTGCTGGTCCCGGCAAAAGGAATCGGGGCATTCACGGAAGGCCCTGAGATCAGTACTTATGAGCCCAGGTTGCATGATGGGGAATGCCTACCTCTTTTGCTTCGTGTCACCTCCAATTTTTAAAAAAATCCTCAAGATAGGCAGGGCTTTGCAAAACGTAAAAGATAAACCAATAGCAAAGCCCCAAACTCATAAAATCCTGCAACTGGCAGTTATTTTGAGGGTGGGGGGCGCAATGCTGAACCCCCCTGCCATGCGGATGTCAAAGAGGCTAAGCTCCTCCAAAAGAAGGTGGTGGGATTCAGAGATGCTCGGGGCTGAAAGCCAGACCTGTGCGAGAGAAGTCCCGGGCATCCGAGGTGACGTCCCAGGTGCTTCTCTTGGCAACAGCCAGGTCCTTACTGATTCTTATTTTATTTCGGGGGGGAGGGGGTGTAATTCAGAAGTGGTTAATTGGCAAAGAAAATGCTGCCTTGGAAAGGCCTCTTGATTTGGCCTTTGTTGTGTGTTTGTGCTGTGTTTGTGGCCCCATCAGCACCTCTGCCCTGGACACGTTCCTTTTCTTCGGGGTCCCCCCTTTGCCTTCTGGGAAAGGGGTCTTCTGTGACTGGCGTTGTCCACTCTGGCCTTCTTTTTCACAGATGGGCACGCCCCACCCTTCCAGGGGCATCCATTTTGTGAAAGTGCCCACAAGGAACCAAGTTGACCCCCAGGCTAAAAAGGAGGGGGGTCCCTGAGGAAGGACTCAGGAAAAGGAGCTTGGTTGGACCAATTTGTCTGCCTCACTCCCCCCCCCGCCCCGCATCTGAATCCCAAGTTTTTCTCCCAGATGTGGAGACTTGGTGGATGTTGCCAAGTCCTACTCAAGATCCAACTAAAACGAAATGCTCACCCCTAGACAACACAGCGCCAGTGGCTGGGTGCTCTGCGGGCCAGAACCAGAGCCGCTACCACTATATGTGCAGGATCGGTCCCAGGCCCTGCGGGCGCTCTCGACCCCCAGGTGGGCGCCCCGGGGAAAGGGCTGCGTCAGAGCCAGCAGTGCACCCGCTTGCCCTGCGCCTGCCCGGCTTCCTGCCCCGCTCTTCGTTTCCTGCCTTGCAACGTGGGTCTTCCTGCTGGCCGTGCTGCAACTCAGTCCCTGCACCCTGCCTGACCTTGCTGCGTTTGGTCCTCTCCTGCCTTGCTGGCCAGCCGCGCCTCCTGCCTCAAGGTACGCGCAGCCCTCTTTGGCTTCCCGTTCTTGACCCCTGGCTTCTTCCTGGCCACGTCCTTTGGGTTCGCACTTTGCGTTCTGGACCTGGCCTGCTCCGTGCCCAGGGCCTGGACTTGCCATTAAGCCGTGCGTTTGGCCTGGGCTCTCTGCCTTGTCCCTGGCAGCCGCATCCCGGCCCTGCGCCCTCACAGGAGGCAGCTCGGTTGAGGGCTCCCCGCAGTGCCAGTGGCTCGAGAGGGACACCAGTGGGGCAGACGGACCATTTGTGGGCTTATTCCAGGCAGCCAGTCCATTTCCAAGCCCAGTTCAAGTGCGGCTGAGATGGACACTGTAGTCCTGCACAACCAGAGGACATCCGGTTGCCGAAAGCACCTGCGTGGTTAGGGCCAGGCCAACCGAAGGACCCCCCCCCCCCCAATGAAGTGAGGTGGGGGAGGCAGCTGGCACCTCGTTAGGATCTTTCTCTACCTGGCAAAGTCCTCTTTCTGGTCCCACACATTTGAAGAACTGTTTCCAGTGATTTTCGATCCTAGCATTTCCATCGCTGCTTTTACTTTGGTTTTACTGGATGCCATTTGGTTCTGTTCTATGGCACTCATTGCAGCTGCATTTTCTTTAAGGCCTAGCATTTCTCTCTCTCTCTCTCTTTAATTAATAGATATTTTGATTATTTATGTATTTATTTGGTGCATTCGTATGCCACCCCATGGCCCAAGGGCAGCTCACAATGAAGGTAAAAGCAATCAGCATAAAACAATAAAACCACACAATAGAATAGAATTAAATCCAATATGCAACATCAAATCCAATTTATACAATTTGCAAGGCAGGAGAAGATACAGAGCAAGCAGCACTAAAAACATAATGATGGTAAAATCAAAACAACTACTAAAAACAAGTGTTAAATAAAAACATCTTTACCTGGCCGTGGAAGCTGAGTGGTGAGGGGCCAAACACCCCTCCGGGGGAAGGCTCTTCCCCAGGTGGGGTGCAGGAGCGAGCGGCAAGGCCACGTCCCCGAATGGCTTCAACCCAGTTTGGGGAGCTCGCTTGACCGGGCGACTGCGGTGTGGGGTGCAGGCCTGGGCCGAAGAGTTAGGCTGGGTCAGCTGTGCTGGCCGAGCCAGACCTCCCCTGGTGCCGTTCCTGCGTGGGGCAGGTGCCAGCACTGCAGCACTCGGCCCCTTTGGAAGCCGTCTTCGAGGGCTCAGGTCAGACCTCCGGGGACTTGCCTGGCTTGCTTTTATGCCTGGCTGGGCTGCCCCTTTCCCGTGACAGGGACTCCTCAGGGTGCCGGAGAGCCCGTGGGCAAGAGGAGCGCCCTCCATCCGTGCTCTGCCTTCTCACCAGCAGCTGCTCCTGCCCCACCCGGCCCCCGCCGGGCGTGCTTGCCGGCAGACAGCCGGAGAGCAAGGTGGCCACAGCAGGTGAAGGAGCCGGCCGCAATGGGAAGAGGAGGGGCAGCTCCCGGGGGTTGTCCAGTGACCCCCCACTGGGCTGTGGGTCTCCAGCAGCTGCCCCACCACGCAGAGCTGTGACACCAGCCCTGCTTGGCTCAGCGGCTCAGAAGCCAAGCTGCAAGTCGTCATGCCCCCCCAGTGGGCTGAGGTGAGGGAGACTCCAGGGGCCACTTCCGATGAGGCCATGCATGTTTTCCATCATGGGGCCACAGCTTTGGCAGTCAGGATTCTGTCAATATCCTGCCTCTCTTGCCTGTTAGAGAACTACCCTCCTCTTCCTCCTCTCCGTTTTATCCCGATGACAAACAGGGTTGTTAGCGACTGGCCCAAAAGCCACTCCTGAGCTCCAGGGATTTGCATCCAAGCCTTTCTAGGCCCAGTCTAGTTTTCTGCAACTCGGTGCCCTCCCACGGTGTTGCACAAGAGCTCCCATCATCCCCAGCAAGCCAGGGCAACTGCCCAGAATGTTCTAGACCACAGGTGGGAGAAAGCTGTTTCCAACCTGATTTCTGCCCAAAGGCTCACAAGGGGGCCGTCAAATTAGGGCTACTCTGCAGCCAAATTAGAGCTGCAGCAATCGGAACAGCTCATTTCAAAGGGATGCAGAAACAGTCAGGCCATTCCGCTAAAGAAGGAGAAATGCTTGGTGTTGGACGCTGATGCCCAGTAACCCCAGACAGCATGACCCATTGCCGGGGATGATGGGAATCCAACAACTTCTCCATGGCCACTCATCCCTGAATTGCAGCGCCCCCGAAATTACTCCAAACGCCTCCCTGCCCTCAGACGGCATCCCACAGAACAGGTTGCACCATGCCGAGATACCAGTCATAAAAAGGGCCTTTAAATTCCAGGAGAAGGGACGTTTCTAGAGCAATCTGAGCAGCTGCAAGGGAGGCCGGAGGGGTCCCGGCTGGAACCGTGGCTCGGGCAGGGACTCACGCGAAGGTGGCCGGGCCCTGGCGGAGCTGGCGGGTGCTGGGACACACCGCTGCTGCGGGCTGTGTGCTTGTTGCCCCCGCACACCCCCCCCGTGTGCCACACATGACGGTCATTCAGTGCTTAGTGAGGACGGGGTCGCATTGCAGTCCTGCTCTGGAGCTTTCCAGCGGTGGCACTGCAGAGGGTGTTTGGATGAGCGCGCGTTCTCTCGCAGGAGGTCCTTGCCAACATAATGGCTGAATTTTGGGGGACTACTGGACTATATGTGGGAGAGAGGTCCTTCTTTTACATCCAATTTCCCCCTTCCGCCAAACCCCTCTGTCCGCAGTAAGGCACAGAGGTGTTCTAACTTTCTGAAACCTGGACTGATCATTATCTCATGATCCATTAATGAGTGGACAAAATAACACACCCCTTCAGGCATGTGACGTGCTTTAAAAAATAAATGTATATTTATAAGGAAACGTTTCCTCCTTTGGCAAGAGATCATGTGGGCCGACCCGCTGGGAACTTGTGCAAACAATTATTTTTTGCCCAGATATGGGAAGCCATGAAACCCAGGTGTCCATCTAGGGGAGAGAGAGGATGGCATCCCCAGAACAAGCTCCAGGTTTTGGGGGGCCCTTGGGCAAGGCCCCCCCCCATGCCACCAGCTCTTCCTCCTCCTCCTGTTCCTCCTCATGGCCTCACTTGCTTGCTTGGTCTTTCCGTGCTCCTTCTTGCCGCTTCGGTGAGAAGAGACAAAGGCCGGTGGGCAAGCCAGGGGCAGTGGGGACAGAAAGGGGCGGATCCAGAGGGCTCTTGTCCAGGGGGCTGTGTCGGGCCGTGGGGCCCTCTGTGGCATCCCCTGGCATCAGCCCTGGCTGCCTGCAGTCCGTGGTTGG